TTCAAAAAAATTGCGACTCTTATTAAGTCAATTTCATTATCTAATAATCTATACATCACATCCTACTTTTATCCATCACATTAAGATTATTTTTTAAAAGTCAATACAAAATTATCTATCTTTATTTTGCCACTTTAGTCATACTATCATTATCTTTATGGAATGAAGATTACCATTTTAGTCAAATCGTCCTTATCTTTATAAGTCGGAGGGAGGGAGGAGTACAGAAAAGTTGAGCATAAAACTTTAAAAACTTTGTTTGAGATTTGGGAGTATCTTACTTAATTTATTAGGAGAGGAACTAATTTAACGTTTGTTTGTGGGGAGTGGGGACATGAGGAAGCCGGCAGTAGAAGACAAAAGATGTTCCAATCCTTAGTTGTTGGCCTAACGCAAATACTGCCAAACAACTTGCAGGCTGCACACCTTTTTACATTATTATTATTCAACCCTACACTCAATTAACTATTGGGTTAAAGCATGCATATATATATATATATATATATATATATACACTTACTCCATAAATATTTTTCACACCTGTATTCCCGAGATAAAATATCAAGCTTTTTCAATTTATTTTATTTACATATTGGGGCACCTCCGGTACTCCGTTCGCAAAATTGACGGTTCCTACCCCCCTAAACCCCCACCCTACCTCCGCCCCTGCACCCCCACCCCCGCCGTAAGCCCTCCACAAAATGTGTGGCTATTATGAAACGCATAATAGCCACACATTTTGTGGGGGGCTTATGGCGGGTGGGGGTGGGGGTGCATGTGCGGGGGGTTTAGGGGGTGGCACTAATTTAGGATCAAAGTCCAATTTACATTCTCTCAGTGACCGTCTGACCAAGAATTTACGACTTTTTTCTGCAAATTGTAGCAGCTTTGACCGTGAATTAAGGAAAAAATTTATTTAAGATGTCTTTTTTGTATCTACGTACAAAAAGATGTCTTTTATGTATGGCTAGACATCATTTGAATTGCGAAACGGTAAAAGATTACTGAGCATTCGAGCGATTGATAGTTAAAAGTTAGTGAATGAGTATAATTCGAATAATAAATACAAAAAATTAAGATAGATCATAACCTTATTATAGTATTGTTTAGAGCTGCTAATAACCATATTTAGATCTATATTTAACTTCTAATGTGGCCATTGGACAAACAGTTGGGGACGAACTTTGGAGAGGATTTATTTGGGCGGGTGGTTTCATGTGAATGGTCAGATAATAAGAAAACGTCCAAATTCAACACAAAGTAAATAATTATGACCATCTCAATGGGAAAAAAATAAGAGCCAAGTAAGGACAAATATACCTCTCATTATCATTACTCTAATTTAAAAATAATAATTAAATGAGAAGCCAACCCACCCATGAAAATTATGTTATGTTTTTACCTTAATTATATGCTAAATTATTTTAGAGTCTGTTTGGTATGTGGAATTGATGGAATTGGAATTGAAATTTCATTTGATTCAATTCAATAGAATTGAATTCACCAATTCCAATTCATTTTTGCACTATCAATTTCAAATCCACATAAATTTTGTACTACCAAACACTAGAATTGGAATTGAAGTCCGCAATTCCAATTCCATAGTTTGAATTTTCTGTACCAAACGGGGCTTCAGAGAAATTAATTAAGGTTCCGTTTGGTATACGGAATTGATGGAATTAGAATTGAATTGGGAATTGAAATTTCATGAGATTCAATTCCATATAAATGAATTCACCAATTTCAATTCATTTTTTGCACTATCAATTCCAAATCCACATGATTTTTGTGCTATCAAATACCAGAATTGGAATTGAAGTCTTCAATTTCAATTCCATAGTTTGAATTGCATGTATTTGGTATTGGGGTATATCAAAGTCAACTCAATTCATAAAAAATAAAATGTGATCTTGATTAAACAAATATTTTCTTGGTCACAATTTAAAGAGATAGATTATTAAAAAAGAAAAGATTAATTTAGGAAAAAGGGAACTGATTAATATATATTCAAAAGAAATAATAGTTCTTCATTTTTTAAAAATGTCAGTATTTTTCGTTCCTTTCTGAAAATGAAGCACTTGTGTGGGTGCATTGGGCTTAAAAAAAGCAAAAAGAAAAAAAAAGTTTGTCCATCAATTTATATGACCATGTACAATAAATGATCTTGGCAGGAAATTGAAATATACTACCCCGTCTCATTGTTTTTGTCCACATTTGACTTTTGAAACTGTTCATCTAAGCACTTTGACTCATTAAATTCTCTTAATGTATAAGCCTAAAAATAGTCATGTGTGATCTTGTTTGATTTGTCTTAACATATAGATTATTAATATATAATTTTTTAATATACAAATTACAAGATAAAATGGATTAAAAAAGTGCATTGGATGGTGTGCCAAAACGTAAGTGGACAAACACAGTGGGACTACTTTTGAAAATAAAAAAAATGAGAGAAAAATTAGGCTGCCGCACGTTAGGCGGAAAAGGCAAAACATGTGTTATAGACTTATAGTATAGTGGCGTTGTTTTTTTGTTTGTAGTTTATGAAGGAGGAAATTTACCGAAATAAGACTAAAAGGTAATGCTTTTTTTAATATAAAATCACGTGTTTTTATTTTTCAATGTAGGATCATTGATTATTATCCATTATTTATTATTCAAGTAAATGTCCACCATCACTGGACATTATTTCTCTCATTAGACACTATTCAGTTTTATTTAGAGAATAAAAAAGTTTAAGTCCTATTTTGAGAAATGACTTATTTTTAGTCCTATTTAGTACAAATTTTTCTTAAGAATATTGTTTTCTTTTAAAAAATATTATTTCCAAACAAGGCCATAATGTACATTTGGCAACATTTTTAGGTTTTTTATAAGTCTGTCTAATGAAAATTATTTTTTAAAATTAATTTAAAATATTATTAAAACGTGATAACTAAAAGGATGTTCTTATTATCCAAATTTGTTTCTAGGTTTTTGAATTGGATAATGTAAGGGACACTATTTTTTAACCTAAACATCTTACCTTATCACATATATTGATTTCAAAAGTATATATATGTTTCCATTTCTAATACTATAGGGCAAATGCTTTAGAACTGCTTTTACCCATGTTATGTTCATTACCAGAATTTCGGTTTTCCATAATAAGTAATGCCTACTTTCTTTTATGGCTTACATAAAGTTGAATGCTATAAAGAAAAGGAAAGAGCCACCAAAAAAAAACTTGATAAAATGATTGGAATGTGTTGAAATAAGCGAAAAAAATTAAAGTATAACTAAAATATTGTAAATATACCAAAATAAGAGTTCTATGTTTTTATTCCTGAAATATGAGTTGAAATGCATTTATATTATCAATCATGAACATTTACATTACGTAAGTTTCGTTGCACATGGATAGTGCCACATTTCCATATATAGTGCGAACTCTTATTTATAGAATAAAAATATGTAACTCCGATTTTGTTATTTTCTCTATATTTTAATCCTATTTTGAAGTGATTTTTTTGAAATAAAATTATTTGCATAATTTTAGATTGTAACATTTTTGTATTAAAATAACTTCTACTCCGATCCGTAGTATTTTGAATTCATTAATGAGGAGGCCATCGTAGATGTGGCTCATCCTTTTGAAGTCATTAATACTTCGCATTAATTAAAATTTTAAATTTTTTGATGGAATTAAAATTTATAAATGATCATTAAAAAATATCATACTTCATATTTTTTTAATTGACTAAAAATGTTTCTTATGGACAGAGTAAAAAAACTTTCCTATGTCATGATCACAAGTTTGAGCTTCTGGTTGACTTGGTTCCTTGTCGTGGTATCAAAACCAGTTTTAGTCTACTTCATTTGTTAAAGTGTCCATCTAAAAGTTCATTTGGAAAATGTCTTGTCGCCATATAGCTCGATTGTTTGAATGGAAGGTCTTACCCTACGATTCGTGTTCCTTAAGGTGTTGAGACTTTCAATCCTTTCATTTCCTAGGGAGGAGAAGTCCATTTGCAAGTAGTCAATAAATTAGATTCAAAGTAGCTCAGTTGTCCACTAGAGATGAGTGTTAGAGTATCAAAAGAGAAAATAACAAGAAACGACGAGATTAGCAATGTGGTTGTATCTATTGAATACATGATAAGGTATAGAACTAAAAATATGAATCAATAATAGAAGGTGACTAAAATAAAAATACTATCATAATAGTGATAATTATTATTGTCTTACATCCCTCTCAAGCTGAACTCGCATCACGAGTGGAAGCTTGGAAACACGAGTGTGGAACCGCGGAGAAGATAACGCCTTCATTAGCAAGTCTGCTAGAAGTAGAGAGACAGATATTCGTTCTGTGATGAATCGGTTTGAAAGTGCATGTAGGGTGCTGACAATGGGAGCGATGGCGAGAAGTTTTATTTTTTCTTCTTTTTGGGTCATTCTCTGCCTTTCTATCACTTGTTGCTCTCGAATTCGAGAAGAAATATAGACAAATGTAGTTTTACAGCTCTTCGTCCATGCACATGAGTTTTTTTTAACAGAGAAAAAGAGGAATAAAGGACAATGATTGCTAGGCACACTCATAATTTTTGGAGATCAGAGGAGAGGGATAGTGGATGGTGAGGTCATGATATATGGCGATCGAGCGTCGATGTTGAAGACTGGCGGTAGCGCAGGGTTTGTGAAAGAAGGGAGGCTAGATTTTTTAGAAGAGAGACCTTAGCTCTGATAGCATATTAAATAATGGAGTAGTTAATTGTAATACTTAAGAATTAATGAAATACATGACAACATATATAAAAAAAGTATACATCCTTAACTAATGCTAGGAATCAATAATAGTAGCCGATTAAAATACAGAAAAAAGTGGCGGTGTTCCGCGGCGAGATTGGGGCCACATCAACTTCCCGTTGAGTCTTCGACTTACATCCATACCGGGTAGCCGAAGTCTGAACAATTAATGAAATACATGACAGCGTATATAAAAAAAGTATACAACCTTAACTAATGCTAGGAATCAATATTAGAAGCCGATTAAAATACAGAAAGAAGTGGCGGTGTTCCGGGGTGAGATTGGGGCCACCTCAACTTCCCGTTGGGCCTTCGACTTACATCCACACCGCGTAGCCTAAGTCTAAACAATTAATCATTTTTTTGAATCATAATTACTAAATCTTAGTTGCCATTTTAGATTACAAATTTTTTGTTTTACCCATAAAATATGACAATATCTTAGCCCAAACATCCTTTGGAAAATCAGAACATCCGTATACTCAAGTAAGAGTGGCGGACATGACAAAGTTGAGACGTGAAGAAGGTACTACTTGACAATTCAAAAACAAACAAAAAATCTTTATTTTTTTTTAAAAAAAAATAGGAAAAGAAAAGAAAGACCAAACCCCAAAAAATAAAAAGATAAGACCAGTTTGGATTTTACAAGTACCTTAGAATAAGTAGGCCCCACTTAAACAGTTTATTGGACCGTCTCCCCATTTGTCGTTTCTGCCCCCCTCCCCTCTTCTTCCTTCTTTCCCCCGTCGTCTCTCTCTCGCCTTTTATTTTTGGACTTAGTTTAACTGGTCAAAAGAAAGTAATACTCCATTTTGACTTTTTCTGTTAATCGTTTTCAATTTTTGACATATAATTAAATAAAATATTATTTTATATTAATGAGATAAAATAATGTTTTGAAAATATTTTATATAATATATCTAATAGAATTATTATTTTTAACAATATTTAATATCATTTCTATTCAATTTAGAATCACAATTTACTAATTTTCACCAAAAAAGTGGACAAATACTTCTAGTGGGAGAGAGTACCACAAAAATTAAATTGAGTTTCAATTTTTGTAAGTTAACGTCTCCGTTTGTCATCAGCGTTAGAGATTAGCGTTATTCTTTCAGAAAAAAATTACAGCATTAGTATGTTTGAATTTAATTTACTCCATTAAAATTTTATCTAAAATACTAATAAAAAAGCAAGAACAACAAAAGTTATGCTAAACACAACTTTTCTTGAAGATTCTTCTTCTTAATTAGTTGTAATTAAAATTTAATTTAATTTTTTTTATTTCAAAATTTATTGTGTGTGGACTGGTATTAGAAGACTCGAAGGGAAGGTATACTTTTTTATTTTTCTCCCAAGCCTTTATAATTTCTCTCTCCCTTTCACAACATTTCTCAGTCTCCTTCTCCTCCCTCCTCCCTCCTCTCCCCTGAACTTCAATTTTCAATCTATTGTGTCTCATCTTGTCGGCACTTTTCGATCTTCCCCAACTGTCCCTTCATTGGACAAACCGAACCTCCCCCTGCTGTCACCCCTGATCCGTTATGACCCCTTCTCCGACCTGATCTCGTACCAAGTTCTGGTTCTCTCCGACCGCCGCCATGGCCGGAAGCAACGACGTCGACGCCAGTGATTCCAAGGTAACCTCCAATTGTTCCCTAATTTTGGGGATTCGTGTTTTTGGTTTCCCCGGGTCGACCCTACCCTTTTCAAGAAAGCTGTTTTTTTTTCACGACTTGATCTGTCCTTAAAGATTGAATCTTTACACTCGATTTCATGAATTCTTGATTTGAGCTTTCTTGGGTTTGTTCATTTTCCTGTTTTTTTGCTCATCGGCCTTTTTAATTTGCTTTTCAATTTTCTTTCTGTTTCTGGGGATGCATAAATACTTCAAGATTTTTGTTTTCCATTCTTGGGAGATTTGAGCAGTGACTATAAACAGTTTTATAATGTTTTTTTTCTTTCTGGGTTCTGACTGATGTGTTTCTTTCTTTCTTTCTTTCTTTCTTTTGTGTCCTTTCTGTAGAAGGTTGTTCCACTCAACACTTGGATTCTGATTTCCAATTTCAAGCTTGCTTACAACTTGCTTAGAAGGGCAGATGGCACTTTTAACCGTGATTTGGCCGAGTTTCTCGACCGGAAAGTCCCGGCGAACACTATTCCGGTGGACGGTGTCTACTCGTTCGATGTCGTGGACAGGGCAACCAATCTGCTGAACCGGATATATAGACCCGAACCGGAGGATGAATCGGATTGGGGCAAGGTGGAGCTCGAGAAGCCCCTGAGCACGACCGAGATTGTGCCCGTGATCGTCTTCTTCCACGGCGGGAGCTTCACTCATTCCTCCGCCAACAGCGCGATCTACGACACGTTTTGCCGTCGGGTTGTCAAGATCTGTGGGGCCGTCGTCGTTTCGGTCAACTACAGGCGATCACCCGAGCACCGGTACCCGTGCGCGTACGACGACGGGTGGACTGCACTGAATTGGGCCCACTCGCGGCCGTGGCTGAAGAGCGGGCCCGACAGGCGGGCCCACGTGTACCTGATGGGCGACAGTTCCGGCGGGAACATCGCCCACCATGTCGCGGTCCGGGCCGCAGAGTCGGGCGTGGACGTCTCGGGGAACATACTCCTGCACCCGATGTTTGGCGGAGAGAAGAGGACCGAATCCGAGACGCGTTTGGACGGGAAGTATTTCGTCACGGTCCAAGACCGTGACTGGTACTGGAGGGCCTATTTGCCCAAAGGAGAAGACCGGGACCACCCGGCGTGTAATATATTCGGGCCCCGAGGAATCAACCTCGGGGGTCTGGATTTTCCGAAGAGCCTGGTCGTCGTGGCCGGACTCGACGTTTCCCAAGATTGGCAATTGGCATATGTTGAAGGACTTAAGAAGTATGGGCAAGATGTGAGGCTCTTGTTCCTAAAGGAGGCGACCATTGGGTTCTATTTCTTGCCCAATAACGACCATTTCTTTACCCTCATGGAGGAAATAACCAATTTTATCCATCCATATCCATCCTTTAGCTGTCCTTAGCAATTTAGCATGTCCAGAAAGTTCGTGACCCGGGCATCGTGCCCGGGTCATTGATCTAATTATCCGGATCTAGAAGTAGCAACCCACCGGGTGAGTGGGTTTTATATATGCTTATTTTGTTCTTATAAAGAAAGCCTAATTTTAGTAATATATGGATTTGGGAGAGTCATAAACATATAGATTTGTCTATGTGTATGTAATGTATATATTTGTGCTTTAGAAATACTCTGATAATAACTTTTTCATGTCTTTTACAGTGATCATTTTGAGTCAGTACAAAATTCTAGGTAAGTTCATATTATTTTACAGTACCATTCAAAAGGTTAAAATAAGGACAATTTGTGGAAATACACCCATAAAAAAAGAATTACGAGAGTAATGTTTGATAATTAAAGAGTAAATATGGAATCCCTCTGTTAAAGAATTAATTATGGAATTTACTCTTCTATTTTTATTTGCAAAAATTTCACTATTTCAAAATAAGGAAGGAAGACAAAAAAAGGCATAAAAATGATGCCAATTTATTTGGACTCTGGTTAGGGGTGAGGGTTTACAAAGGTTTAAGTTTTTTTTTTAAAAAAAAAAATTCATGTTCTTTTTTATTAGGAGAGGTTTACTAATTCTAAAATAATTAGAGAAACAAAAAACAGGGCATAATAAAAGGCGTCAATTCATTGCCATAAAAAATTTTAATATTTCGTTTTTGTATGTCTCAAGAATGTTGAAATAATTTTTTTTACTTTTTTAATCTTTTTTTATTTTATAAAATTCCAATAGAGAATTTTTATGCAACAGATGTAGTTTTTAATATACATCCGACATATGCACATTTAAAAATTAAATAATATTAACTTTACACAATATATATTCGCGTATTAAATTGATGTATGAACATATACTACATCTGTTGCATAAAAATTATTAGTGTATGCAAATTTAAAAGTTATGTAATGCTTAATGAAATAAAATAGTGTATAATAATTCGATTCAAAATTTTAAAACGTTGACTAGAACACATTTCAAAGAAAAATATTTAACGGAAATGTTAAAATCACAAAGGAAATTATGAATTAATTACTTTATGATTTTAAAAATCTACGTGTGACTCTATAATGGTATCTAAAATTCATATCCAAGACACAACTTTTTAATAAATTATGACATTAACTTAATTTTTTATTTTATTAAGATAATAATAATTTGAAAGTAAACCTAAATAGTTTTTTTAAAGTCATTGTTGAAAGAAATTAGAAGAAGTATGAAGAAATTAGAAGTAGTTGGAAAATTGGAAAGAGTTGAAAAATGTTGGAAATTATGAGTTAATGCTGTAAAAATCACCCTAAATAAGACTAAAACATAGAAAAAGTATCAAAATAGAACTTCCATGTTTTTATTCCTGAAATAGGAGTTTGCACTGTAGTAATGTGGAGGTAATGTGGCATTGTACACGTGCACATGACTATACTTTTGGGTAATGTACATGGCCGTGTTTGGTAATATAAATGCATTTTAACTCTTATTTCGGAAATAAAAACATGGAAGTCTTATTTTAATATATTTTCAATGTTTTACTCATACTTTAGTCTTTTTCTCTTGAAAAGAACATAGCCTTAATTTGCCACTCAGTGCCAAAAGACATACTCCCTCCGTCCCCATAAGATGTTCTCATTTTGACTTTTGGTTGTTTTTAAGGAGAGTTGAAAAAAGGTGAAAGTTTACCATAATACCCTTAATGAAAAATGGGTGGAGTGTATTAAATGAGGTGGGTGAGGTGTAATAAATAAAGTAAGTGGGGGTAGTTGTGGTATTTTAATTGTTAAAAAATGAAATGAGAAGATCTATTGTGGACAAAGAAAAAAGGCTATTGAGAAGATCTATGAGGGACGGAGGGAGTATATAAGTAACAAAGATGACCATGCAATGGCAGACAAGCAACAGAAATCTGAGAAAATTTAGAAGTAACGACGTCAATAAGTGAATTTGAGAGGATTTATGCCAAATCTCGAATTTTTAAAAGTGTATATTCTTGTGAAATTTTGCAAATTATTATTTGGTGCTCCATCATTAATACGCAATACTCCGTATAATATTTGCAATTGATAGGAGCATGCTATGGCTACATGAAAAAATGCAAGCGATAAAAACCATAAAATATTAATTCCTATAAATTCACCAACAAAACAGAGTTGTATGTATACCTTCCCACACCCTTGGCATACATATATCAACCTTTAATTAACTTAGATATCTCAAAATTATTATTTTCTCCATTTAAAAAAATAGTATGGCTTCGAAATCGTTTGCTTCAAAATCGATTGATATTTTATTGAATATTGAAAAATGTATTACATTCTGTGACTCGATATGCTAAATTGGCCGCTGAAATTGAGGATATTCTACCGATAAAGAATGAGCTTAGAGACCTCAAAACAAGGGTTTTGGCAGTGATAGAGGAAAATGGTATTCCAATTTGTAAGTTCGGAGTCTAGGTTAGATAATAATGTCAAAAAAATTACGGTGTACAAATAATTACCTACAAAAAAATAATCATCTACATAATATCGAGTAATATTTTATTTTATTTTAGAATATATAATGGTGAGTAAATGTTGGATTTATTTACAATACAATAAACCCACAATTATTTACTATCTGAATTGAACAATAATACTCCTTATAATGTCATTTATGCTTGTAAAAGTATCGTGATAACTTTGAGTTTGTAATTAAGTATTTTGAGAATAATGTTGTCCTAATATTTATTGACTTATCGGTGATTTTAGTCTCATTTCCTATTTTATGTCATTGAAATTTCTTAAGATTGGACAAAATATTTAATAAATGTTGTTAACGAGTTCGGAGGTGTACGTAGAGTTATATTCTTTCAACATTATTACAAATTCCTAAATAAGTAGGAATTCGGAGGCAGCATCCCCTGAGAGCGAACTTAAAGGGGTATAGCCCCTGGCTCTTTTTGACAAGTGTTGCTTTATGGAAGTACTTAGAATCTTTATAAATGGAATCCTATTTAAGTAAGGCGTATTAAAATATACGGAGTAGTATATTAACCGAGCCATCTTTGCGAAAAATGTGTGTATTATACATTTGTTTTCGAAGCTCTTAAATTCAAATGTATACTTAAATTTCTGACGATTCTTTGAATTTCTAAAAATTTGAAATGTCCACCGTGTTTAATATAATACATCGGGTTGTAATCCACTCGAAAGCATGTTGTGAAACAGCTCCTTAGCTTTGATCATATCTCCAGCACGGCATAAAGCAGCAATAAAGAGTGTATATTTGTGGTTGACGACATTTCCCCGAAAACACTCGATGCTTCTTCCAAATTCCCATTCCTGCGTAGTGCTTTAATCACAATTCCGCAGGTATAAACATTGAACCCAAGCCTCTTCAACTGCTTATAAATAGCCACAACCATATCCAATTTCCCAAACTCAAAGAGCCGGTTCATCAAAAAAATCACATGACGATAACTGTGGACTAAACCCCCGCCTTGTTGTGAGTAGGAAGGAGATCAATGGCCTCATCAAACATGCCCAAACTCACATAAGTCTTGACCAATGCATCTAGAATCTGAATTATGTAATCGGGGCTCTCTCCGTCGAGTCCCCATCTTCAGAGAAAACTTGGACTAAACCACAACTGTATGTTGACATCACTGCTTGAACTTTCTCCATCAGAAGAACTAGAAGATCGAAGAATCTGAGGGATATTGGCTCAACTGGGCAAGTGCAGAAAGTGATTTAACTCGAAATGAATTAACACTTCTTCTCAAGACTTGTCTTTTACAAACTGTCCTGATTGCAGGAGCGAACATGTAATATGTTTAACAAAAAAAAGCATTGCTAAACACTTTCTTTAAACCATACATCATTCACATTTCACCAAACACCATTTACTTTCAACATTTTCTTTAAACTTCGTGAGGCCAAAGCATTAACTTCACTTTGGGACAGACGGAGCACCAGATTTCTTGTGGTAATGTACGAATGCGCGCACACATATGTTGACAAATATGAACATAAAGCTCACATATAAACACCTAGCATATGAAGTGTAGACATTGTACCTTCTGATTGCGTCGATAGTATCGGGGGTCTTGGGGGCAGCGTGTTGGGCGGTGCTCCTTGGACCACACGGCAAGAAGGAGAGCAAATCCCATTCTAAGTGGGATTGCTCTTGATTTGTTTCCTTGTTCATATTTAGTGATTTGTTTCCTTGTAGGAATAGAATTCCTTTTGTGTTTTGGTCTTTATCCTCTCCTATAAATAAAGGAGAAACTCCTTGTACTTAGCAGAACAATTCAATATACAGAATATTTTCCCTCTTATTAATTTCTTCATGGTATCGGAGCAAGATTCCTAGGGAAAAACCCTAATCTAGACATACGACGGTCCATCACCGTCCTCCGCCGGTTCAAGCCTGTCTTCCGCCGGATCACCGACATCGACCGCCGGACTATCCTCCTCGACCGTCGACATGGCAGAAGTAGAAGAAAATCTCGTCGGCAAGCTTTTCGATGAGGAAGAAAAAATCCCTACGAAGGGAAGTTCTTACGAACTCAAGAACGCAGACACACCTGGATTAATTATCACCCAAGTCAAACTAAACGGTGATAATTATGAAGAATGGGCTCGTGCAATGAGAATTGCATTCCGTGCAAAACGGAAAATTGGATTCATCGACGGATCCATCCCTTGTC